GCTTAGCGGCGAAATAAATTACTATGTAAAACTTTTTTGTCGAGTAATTTAAAAAATGGAACGATCTTTCACACCGCAACATGGCGACCAAAGAGGCAACTTATCAAAGAGTTAATTTAAATTTCGAACTGGCACATAGAAAGTTGTTTAGTAAAAAAAAACTTTGGCGCGTAAAAAGCTATGGTTATTAGTTGTTTGCCAGCTTTGTCATTGCTTTTAAAGTTCTAAATTATACTACGTTTTAATTTTCGCGCATTCTTTGAGAAAGAACTATACAAGCCTTGACCGCAACTAGGCATTGATGGACGTACGTTCACAGGTTCGTCCATCAATGCCTCTCTTGCCGGTCGCTAAATTAAGGTACTATATATGAGTCTGAGTATTTACATGTGAAATTTTCTTCAAGTAACATATACGAGTACCTAGGTTTTTAATAACAGTATTCGCGCGACTTATTCGCTCCATTAAAATTAATTCCATTGTTTTACTCGCCGTCTGCTGTAGTTGCTTGCTAGCTAGACGCGGCGGCCGTTCTAACGCGCTTTTAGATCAAGAACTATTCCGAGCCAAGTCCTATTGGTAAAGAAAGATATATTGTTCAGTAAGGGTGCAGATCTGAAAAATATTTAGGTTAAAAAGAAACTTCGAAATGGGGAAAATTCATTAAAGGGAAAAAACAAACAAAAGTGGGGTATGGTATCTAACCATACTCCACTTATAGAATATTATGTATAAGAATTTGAATCCTAATTCAACACAGCAGTTAGCATTAGTTGCTGCTGGATGAAAATATGCCTGCTATAATTGGACAGTAAATCGGACACAAAATATGTCCCCCCAATGCTTTAGGGTGAATAATGCTTCAGAGTTTAATTTTAACATTTGTTTCGGGCCGCCTTTGATACACGTATGTGTACAAGTTCATTTCCTACTTCCGTTAAACATCCGGTAACGTTGTCGTCCTTTTCCCTAAAAGCCTTGATTCGTGTCACTGTCACCTTTGCCTTGTAACATTAATTATTTATTTGTATCTCTGTATTTCGGCATTGGCTTGTGTACGAAGTAATTAATTCTACGGATGGATAATTAAGAAATTCTGCGAAGTTCCTCGAAATACTAGTTGTTGCTTAAAATCTTTATTAATTTTTTACTTGTTTATTGCACATGATGGCATTATATAGTTTTAAACTCCATGTCCCACATTCGGGACTCGGTAGCTCAAGTTAGAACAACAGCACGGAACCTGACATGCCGGTTCAATTCAATATTTTTTTTTCAATTTATTTTCGATTTTTAATCTAGTTGTTGCTTATTTATTTATTTTCGGTGCTACTAGAACTCTAATGTGATAAGAATATGTTTGAGGTTCGTTTATTTAATTTATCACACCGGGAACCTTGTCACTCTGTTATAATAAATAAAAATAATATTTTTGCTGTCACTACTAATTCGAATCTATGAAGTAACATAATTAAAAATGCGACAACTTTTTAATGCAAAACATTTACTGTTGTTGCCTTTAGTTTAGAGTTAGTACAAAGTTAAATAAAACGCTTTTTAAACGCGAAATATATTGGTTAACTTTGTTTTATAACAACCTAAAGTTTTTTATAGCTGCCCCTCGACCACGTCTGGATCAAATCAATTTTAACAACTATATCGCATTATAAACGGTCAAAAGTGTTTTATTTTACTTGACTTACTTATTATATAAAATCAATAGATTTATTCCATTGATTTTTCGTGTTGTTTTTAAAAATTAGTATATATTAGGGGCGAACTATTTATTTAAGTATAATGTACAATATGTTTTACTAAATGTAGTCGAACTAACTGACTAAAAATCTTTTCATCTTACCATACAGCTACTGTATAAATATTACGTGATTAATATTACTGTTCTTAGAATCGTTACAAGAGAAACATATATTGCATTATTATATTTTGGAGAGTTGCGATAACCTTATTTATGGTAGGAAAACAGTTTGACTGTGAAGAAGGAAAATATAGTGAGGAAATAGGAAGGTCTCAGAAACGAAAATTCGTCAGTATCTGACATTTACTAAGTGTCGATAGTAACCCGGCGTAGATTGAGACATATTTTTTCCCTTTTAGGAGGTGCAAGTCCCAGCGGTGGGAACTAATGGGCTAATTTTTTGATTTCGGATACATGTTATGTATGCCATCATTCTCTAAGGCGACATTCACTTATATATTGTAATATATGAAGCAGTGTTGTACACGCACTTTTGCTAATATATATTAGCAAAAGTTTATGCAATTGTGTCTTAGGGATAGTATAGGTACCTAGTTTGTCTAGAGTCTAGACAGCATCTTGTATTATTAAGATTTTATGGTAATAGAAATACAAGTATTAGTTTCAAGATAACAAATGAATTGTATTTAAGCTTTCGGGGCGTTCAAAGATTGATTGAGTTAATATACGCTAGCTTGTATTTCAGGAAATCGAACCCAAGGCACATACAACTTGTCACTGAGCTATGAAGACTGTATATTTATGATACCTTAATATTATATTTGTGGATAAAATAAAAGGCTTTCGTGAAAACAAAGCTTAAAAGTATATGGTGGCAACACTGGTTATGTTTTTGTGGCAGAGGAGTACTTGGTTTTCACTTCATGATAGGTGATAGTTTTGGCTTTAATCATTTAAAACACCAGAAGCAGAAACTGAACGAGATTTTTACCTATTATTATATTCTCCACCAGAGTTGAAATCGTTTTAGAGAAATTAATATTATTTAAATAAAAACTTAACGGTTTAAAACGCGATATATTAGTTAACTTGGAAATAATACGGAGCCCGCTGACGTATTTAATTATAATGTTATTTTGAAATCCCACTTGCTGGCCACCTACCCACAATGCGTTGTTTATTATAATAAATTACTACTATTGGACCAACAAGCCTGTCTTATAAACATAATAAGTTATCATATCATATATATTATACATAAATGCATAAAATATACATTATATAGAATATAGAAAAAAAGGTACATAGACATTCGCTGTATGTCTATCTAGATGTTATTCTTTTATATTTATTTATACTTTACAAAACACGTGCATTTACCATATATTATATAGTTAACCATAACCGCTTATTTAAATTAACATAACATGTTTTCTGCATGTGAATATTATGAAAGTCATATATTAATTGCATCATCTGGTTATGGTCAAGCTATGGCGATTTTTAGGGTTCCGTAGCAACGTAAAAATTATTTACTCTGCAGTTTTTAATATATTTATTTAGGTTTTATGAAAATATGATATGAAAAAGAAAGAAATTTGATGTAATTTAGTCGTACCTTAGAGAAGAGCTCAGGTACCATTACTTTTAGTGTAAATTGTCATATATGTGCTTATTGCCATAAAATAAAAAAATGTAGTAAATTTAACAGTAGGTACATTATTTTAAAGTATATCTTAGTTATTGTAAATCTACTATCAGACTAAAAATAATAATAAACAATTAATTAATAGTAATAGACGAAAAATCTATTGTCTAAGTAAAAATTACAGTACAGTACAGTTAAAGCAATAACATCTTAAATTCAAATAAGACCTTGTTGTTCTATTAATAATTTTAATGTATACTGCAATATGTTAACTTTGTTACATCATATTAATGAATTATCCTTTTATTGCATTTATCTATCACTATTGTTACATTTCCCGTTAAGTAATATTTTAAGATTATTACATTCGTTAAAAAAATGTGCAAATTTTTGAAAACATAATTATTTTTTAAATGTCAAGTCGAAAAGTTTTTTCAATTTATTTTCGTTTTTTAAATTATATCGTGCCTTCATGTGAAATAACATGTAAAAAGTAATAAAGTTTTCAAACGTTATAACTTTGTAATTTCATCTTCAATGATTTCTTAAGCTGCAAAACATAAGACATAGAACCTTAATACGCAAGTGTTAAGGTTGAAATTAAATTGCGCGAGAGGTGCATGTATCGATAAGTTGAAAAAATTCGACGATGAGGTGCGGGACTCGATAGCTCAATTGGTAAAGCGACAGCACACGATGTCGGTTCAAGTCCTTTCCGAGTAGAATTTTTTTTCAATTTATTTTCGATTTTTAAATGAAATGTAAAAATTTTTGTTAAAGTATTTGCTTTGATTACCTCTACAGCTTAATGGTTTAAAAAGATGTGCTATTAAAATGGTACAAGCGTAGTGCTATGAAAGTTCTTCGCTCGATTCCGAAACCGATTGTTTTGATCGGGCAGGGCACAAAAGTCAGATCCACTTGCCAGTAAACATGATCTTCGTTTTACTGATAGCGAACGAAGAAACTATGTTTGTCCCATGCCCCATGAAATAGTCGCCCCGGCACAAGTTTTGATATTTCTATATAATATATATTTATGGTCGACATTTAGACATTTTCCGATTTGCATACAGTTTAAATGCAATCAATTATTTGCAGAAATCATTATGAATGCAAGTTAATATCTAATATTAAGATTAAGTAGATAAATATGTTTATTTTTTAATAAAATGCGAAGATCTTTGAATATATTTTATTATCAATAATAATGCCCATAAACTATACACACATTTAATAGATTTTTACCTGTTATTGTCTACTTATGTCTGCGTATGACGTCGGAGGGTCTTTACTTCGAATTCCGGGGATACATTAATTTTGTCATACTGTCTGTAGTTTACGCGAGTAGCACACAGTTTAAATCGCGAAGTATGTATATTAGTTAAACTTATGGTACAAATTATTTTAACTGTGGCCCGACGTTTCGGATGCTTTGTAGCAGCCATGGTCACGGAATGACAAAAAAGGCGGTAATTAAAATACTTTGTAAATAAGTTTAACAAATATAATTGCAATCTTCAACCGTTTTTTTATTAAAAATGTTATGGCGACACACTCGCATCGGATTATGGGAGCCTAATAGATCAGTAAATCAATTACCTAAATTACTTAAAACAAATCGTGAAGTCAAAATCATTCAACTTTCTTTTCAACCTTAATGACAATAGTTTTGTATACAAACAAAAACCAAAATATAGCTGAAGATACATAGAACATTTGAGAGAACATGTTTAATCTAATAGATGGTACAAGTGAAGTAGCACAGATTAGGACTAAACAACGCACGAGTTCCAGGAACGGTGCTTTTGGTGAGGCATCAAGAATCATTCCGAATACTGTCAGAGAACCCAAGAGGTATAAGACGAAGGCTAGAACGGCGATGGGTGACAAAGTCTGTAACATAGCATAAATAAATTAAACACAGATTAAAAATATTTTGATTGCACCAGAATAACCGCAATAAAAATCGTAAAATTATTAAGTCCTTAACCATACCACTAAGTAAAACTACAAAGGTAATTAATTGCAAGAAGAAAGTTTTTAACAAAATTCAGATTTCGGTATAGTAGATTTTCAGACTTTAATGTTCTAATTATTTAATTTAGTTCAAATTTATTAATGTATCCGAAGCGTCGGTATCGGATTGTAGATAAAATATATAAACGAATATACAATGTTAAGAACCACAGATAACAAACTTATTGTGTAGATATTTATTATCTGTGGTCGTCAGAAATTCTTTGTCTCATTCACTTTATTATTCAAGTTGGTATTTCATTTTTAAACATCTATTTCCTTTTACACAAACTTTTAAAGTTTCAAAATTATTAAACAAAAGTATTTTTGAAACTATAACAGTATTATTTATCTACAAATAAAATTCAATATCTCTTTTTAATAGCTTGGTTAAACTGGTATTTAAGCTTAACACAAATTATGCGGCTTTTATGTGTCGCTATCGTGGGTATTTCTACGTTTTATTATACATGATAATGCCTTTACAAAGGCGATGAAGCGAAACGCTCTTCAAAATTAAAATTTCAAACAATTAAGTTCTTCAGTCATCCATCAAAACTTTCCGAACAACAAAGTCGGACGGAAAATTCAACATACTTTAAAAAGTTTTTCAACTTGTTGTTTTGAATTACATTTTGATCTTCATATATTGCGTAACATTATGTTAAGGACGATGAGTACTTTGAATTTCTAAAATTTTGAAAAGTTGTCTCGGGGTTGAATCTCGGTCAGAAGTGGTAAAAAGATATCAGAAGGTCATCTTTCATATCTTATTGAGTTATACCCATGCAAAGAAGGAAAATGTGCTATAAATATAATAATCCTAAAACTTCTTCTTCCGAGGTACATGATTCCAACATAACTAAACTCATTGCAACAAGCATGAATTTTTTTCTAATTTACTTCCTCTAACTTGATCAATACGTTACAAGGAAACGCTAAATGAAATTACCCCATCTCACGAAATCAACTGGACTGTGTGGTCAAGTGATAAAAACATAATGAAACCAGGTGGAAATAGATTTTCCTACTCACAGTAATTGACTTTTAATTAACAGCGGATGGAGGCAACATCGACTGGAGTAATATCATGAAATTATACAGTAATTAATTAATGTTATTATGGAATTTATTCAATAATGCGATCTGATATTTCCAAATTGTATACTTTTTAAAACTTTAATGTGTTGCAGATGAGGGCATTATAAAAACCGAGTTAAAAAAAAAAAAAAAAACGAAACGAGCCAGGCTTGAACCGGCATCCACAGCATTCCGTGCTGTTGCTCTAACCAATTGATCTACTGTGTCCTACACGTTTAGGTGGATTTTCGTTTTTTTTGTAACCTAATGATATATGCGGCATGCATTTTCCATCCATCAATACGAATGAATTTTGAATTTATATAAGTATACTTTTGCAGAATATAACAGTTATTTATGTATTTTTAGGTTGCCCAAAATCTTATTACGTTACACAATGAATATATTTTTAATCTTTTTTTATAAAATCCCGTTACTTAAAATCGTGGAAAAATTGCGACATCTGAGAAAGACGCAAGAAGTTTATTGCTTACTTTTCTGTAAAGTCGATTAACGAAATAGCAATAGCATGGTGCTACAGACGATTTGCCTCATGTCCCATTCCCAATGAGAAATATTTTTATTAATAAAAAATAATAATTACCAAGTGGAGCACAGATAAGCGATAGAATCCTAGTAATACCAGTGCGTAGTGACTCAGCAAGTACATGGTGCACCACTTCGGAAGAACTACGTCGTATTTAACACGAAGGAATAGCTCCGGCTGAAATAATTAAAAACAAATAATCAAACAGAGTTATTTACACGTCTTAATTTATTTTCAAAGGGATAACACAACTCCCTTTGAAAATAAATTAAGATGGAAAAAATCATTGACATGGACGGGGTTCGAACGCACGACTGTAGAGTGTATTCTATTCAAATATTGATTAGATAAGTTTGTAAGGGAACGAAAGAAATGTCAAAAGCCTCTTTGTTTGAAAACTTTAATATTTTTTACATGTTATTGCACATGAAGGCACTATATAATTTTAAAATCGAAAATAAATTGAAAAACTCGCACAGGACTTGAACCGGCATCGTCAGCGTTCCGTGCTGTTGCTCTGCCAATTGAGCTACCGAGTCGAAAATCGTTTCGCCTCTTTGTTATCAAATTTCTAAGTAAATAAGCAGACAAAAAATAATTTAAAATTAACATAATGTTATTTATATGGGGACGATTAAATGTATAAAATTGAAAATTTCTTACACTGATTAATAATACATACTAATAAATACGACTAATTAATATCCCTTAAAGTAAATTAATATATCAGTAAGATAGACGCAAAGTAGTCTTTGCTACTTACGTCTTCTGGCATGTCCTGGAAGCGAAGATATTTTTCAGGTTTCCAGCTCGGCCTATTGAAAACTGCGTGCAATTTATGATTCCAGGTCGTGTACTCCTTGTATTTATCTACTACGTACTTATTGTAAAATGTCTGAAAATAAAGTAAATATGATTATTAAATACTATCTGTAGTTTACGTGATTAGTGCCCATTTAAATAAAACACTTTAACGGTTTAAACGCGATGTATGTTAGGTAAATTTATTTGAAAATTATTTTAACTACGACCCGACGTTTCGGCTGCAGCAAAGCATAATTCGAGCGATCATAAAAGTGAGGCCTCTTGACACATATTGGTAAAATGGGATTATATTATCTTTTTAATCAATTAGTCAACTCCCGTTTTCACGTGTCCATTTAACAGGTTAGTACTTCTAAACCTTGCGCGACAGAAATTATAAAAAAAATATTTGAAAAATTAGAAACATTTTGAGCCCGGTAAGGTTATAACCCACGACCCGTTAAGGATATAACCCGACCACGAAACGAGTCCGTCAAAGCCGAGGTCTGTCTTTGTTTTATGCGTACACGCATATCTAGATAGAAGTTTGTGTCTGCCTTTTATGTGTTCGAATTTTGAAAAAACCAACTGAACTAATACAGCCTTTATCACAAGTATATTTTTAGAAATTACTTAAATAATAAGAACGTTTTAAAAATCGTCTCGCTCTTTATATATCTATTGGAAATCGTTTAATCTGTTTGAATTACCTGTAAGTGAAGCGGATTAAACGAAGGCTGTTGATAAATGAGGCCATAGACGATCCGATCAGTGTCCCTCTCCTCTCTGAATGTACCAAACAGCTTATCCCAGATAATAAGCACTCCGCCGTAATTGACGTCAATACAATACGGGTTGCTTCCTGTAAAGAGCGCCCTTCTAAATTAATTTCTTCTAATTTCAAAGGAATAAGGTCAATTACAACACTAGTTTGTTAAACGCTGTCTGTAGTTTTACAAGTACATTTAAAAAACACTAATAACAGTGTAAACGCAAATATAATAGATAAGTAATTATTAAATGTATTTTTACTACGCCCCGACAATTTAGTTGGTTTACAGCAGCCATTGACTGAAGATGGATGGTGTTCTAATGTCAAAATTAAATCTACTACGCCATCTGTCGTAATTAATAAAAATAAAAAGGAGTTGATATAACGCCAAACATACCTAATTTGGCTTTATAAACCGTTAAAAGTGTTTGATTTAAAAATTATATCGATAAATACTGTCTGTAGTTTAAGCGAGTAGTACACATTTAAATAAAACACTCGGTTTAAAGCAGCGGACGTGGTGGTGGTGACCTGCAAAGCATCCGAAACGTCGGGCCGTAGTTAAAATAATTTTCAAATAAGTTTTACTAATATGTATTGCGTTTTAAACCGTTAAAGTGTTTTATTTAAAACATTATATCATTTAAATAACACACTTTTTAATCACGACCCGACTTCTGACTGTGCTGAAAAGTCGGCCCTGAGTGTTATATTTATGTGTGTACTATTATTTTGCAGTTCTTACCATGGTGTATTCTATGATGACTCGGAGTATTTAAAAAGTATTCCAATGGGCCCAGTCGGTTCACAGCTTCCGTGTGAAGCCAGAACATGTACAAATAACTAAACTGGTGGTGAACCAAAAACTGGGCCGGTGGTATAGCTAATGCCAGAGGTAGGTAGAAAACCTGCAAATTATAACATTAAATTATAATATTGTTGAGGGTACACACTCGGTTGGTCTAACTCGCACTTGGTCAGTTTTTGTTTTGTATGACAGAAGAGGGTAGTAAGAGAAACTTACGGATTCACTATCTCTCGCTAAGACATAATATTCAAACAATAAATATTCACTTAATGGAAGGAAATATCATCTTGACCGCTCTTAATATGTGGACGGTGACTTATGACGCAAAAGGAACTCCAATATTCCTACCACCCAGATTTCCAAATGAAGTCCAATATAAATACTGTCTATAGTTTACGCGAGTAGTACACATTTAAATAAAACACTTTAACGGTTTAAAACGCGATATATTAGTTAAACTTATTTGAATAAGATTTTTAACTTCAGCCCGACGTTTCGGATGCTTTGCAGCAGTCGTGGTCACGGGGTGACTAAAGATGGAGGATGTTTCTGACGTCAAAGTAAAAAATTGATACGCTAGCGCCATCTGTGACCACGTGGCCACGTGACCATGACTGCTGCAAAGCATCCAAAACATCGGGCCGATGTTAAAAATCATTTTCAAATAAGTTTAACTAATATATCGCGTTTTAAACCGTTAAAGTGTTTTATTTAAATTAAGTCCAATATGTTATAAAAAATTTAGAAATTGGTTAGAAACATCCTGGACTCGGTGGGGATCGAGCCCAAGGCTCGTTATTAATCAGTCTTTGTTACCAGACGAGACCGCCATTGAAGTGTAACGATTCAGAAATTAAACTCATGAGCATATCTAGAAAGTACCGAATACATATTAAACCTACATGGCCTAGACTATGTGTAGTAATGTGTGGACGCACATTGTAGTATATGTATTATGTAAAATACTAAAACGATAAAAGAACATTAAGGGCTCATTACCACAGACGAACAAAAAAAATTACATCTATTATCATTTAGACGATTATATGTATATAAACAGGCTTAATTACTGGAAAATTTTGAGCGCATTCGTGTTGGAATAACTTATGACGTTATGTTTCGTGCATTATCGTCGATAAAAAAGTTAAGTAAAATCTTAACAAAGTCGACTGAGTTGTGGCAAAAACACTATTTCTATAAAAAACAACACATACTTTTTGTCTTGTAATGTAAATTCTGAATTTAAATATTCCTACCATCGATGCAAATATAGTTTTGAATTAAGAATGTACCGTTATAAAGTTAAGTGACAATACCTCTGGAGTAGAAAATGGTAAACTAAATATATTGATTAATTAGAAAAAACAATATCTGTAGTTCTTCACAAATATATAACATAACTATAAACATATTATAAATGTATACGCCAATTTTTCTTTTCAAGCCTGCTGAAAAATACTGTTTGCCTCTACTTATGAAAAATAATAATTTTACATAAACAAAGTATCAGAAACCTAAGATAATGAGCACGCTATTAAAGTTTAATTTAATTACTCAATCCAATACGAATAATAAGTAACAATTTACTTAAGTGATGCTGTAAGAAAGAGAAATCGTCAGCATTGGCAGATTGGTGAACTTATCTTGTCGTTTATATGTAGACGTTTGATAGAATAGAAGAATAGAATTTGAGATAGAATTTTGGGCATCAAAATATGTTTTGTAAACCTCTTCATCTTTCTCACATATTTTTTGTGTATCTGGAACCATTTTCGCAGCGTACTCATCGGAAACCCGCAAAGATGAATAATTTTCCCCGTTTTATTTTACATTTCCCGCTGTATTTTCGCTTCTAATATGCACAGCCCGATGTTATACAGCCTTTCTCGCTAAATGCTGGAACTAACACAATTTTTTTAAATTCGAATTTCGAGTTGAAAAAGCAACGTTTGCTTGATCTCAATTAGCGCGTTAAAACAAATAAACGTTTAGCTTTATTTATAAGTTTAGATTAAAAGTAGACGAATGAATCAAACCAACGTCCAATATTGTTGTTCTTTCGTCATTTTAAACAAATAAACCGTACTAAATATTTTGCAATTAAACGTATTCTGGTTGAACAATGTACCCACGCATTACAAAGAATTAAATCCATTTTAAATCTGTGATTACTTAGCATGTTACCCGCTACGGATTAGACTTACAGAATAAGCTTCTTCGTAAGCCGGGCTTAATCCATGTAGTACAGATAATTTAATTTATTGCGACACAATTATTCAATTCAACGAATAAAATGTTGTAACATTACGGTTACCCTCTTTTTTAATCCGAACTTATTCATAATTCAAATATAGCAATCAAAATGGCCTCTTCATTAGTAAGAAATGATATATGTAATGTACGCGAATAGTATACGTTTAAATAAAATAAGTGTAACGGTTTAAAACGCGAAATATAACCGGTAACGTCGAACCATAGTAAAAAATGAAAATTAAGTAACGAATATATTTTGCGTTTCAAACCGTTGAAAGTGTTTTATTTCGATACAGGCGTGACAAATCCATAATCGATTCTTAGTTGTAATTACTGTAATTAATTCAACTTTTGGTATGTTTAGTTTAAACGCTATAAATTAATATTATCTTAAATCGTTACCAAATAACATTGAATTTAAAAAATCCGATATCATTAATTGAGCATAATCTATAGCGATTTACAAAGCTAATAATGAGTAATTAGATCTAATTAGAATTAGATTGATGTGTATTTTACGGTGAAGGTTGTATGTCTGGATGACCAGATCTCAAGGTATTGCGCACGAAGGAATAATAATGGCACCTAGATTATAACAGGCACTGTAAATAATACCTTATTATTTATAATATTGGCAAATAGAACAGTGTATCCTAGTGTTAAATTCAAATAAAAAAGCGATTTTATTTTTGACTTGTAGTTACTACAAACCTTTTAGGCATTTTCTTTTGATGATTAAATTGTAATAATGCAGTCCTGTCGTGATGGAAAAACATCGAGAACCGAGAAGCGAGAAGTCGCTCGTGTCGGCCGAACAGCCCGAAAAACAATGATATGCTGAACGGCATATCATTGTTTTTCGGCATGAAAATCTTACAAAATTTATTATGTATTAGTACTTACTAATACTATGAAGTCGAAGGGTTTGTTTGTTTGAATTTATTTCAGAAAGGCTTTAAGTTATAAAACATCAGGCTGCCTCCAATAGAAGCAAAGACATCGAGGTAAATGTGCGGAAAATTATTTACCTTTGAAGGTTTCCATTGAATGCGATGGGAAAACAGTTCAAAGTACTCAAAATATCTATAAAAGAATTATTCTTATATTGATCAAAACGTAACATAGTTGTAAAAATGATGTCTATCTTATAAGATTAACACACAAGAACCGTTTTTTTTTTTCGGGAATTCTGTCGAAGTGTCTGCAACATATGGCAAAAGAACTTATGCAAGTCAGCTAGTCTAAAATATAAAGTAAATATTTAATGTATTTCAAACAAGATTCTTGCCGTAAGATTAAATAAGAAACCTTAGAAGACATCGAAAAAATATAAATCATTTTATATGGCATGAAGTCGCGAAACTTCAAAGGAATAACAATTTCATTGTTCGGTTATTGACTCTCGTTAACGAAGAAAGAAAAGAAATAAGTAGAAAGTGAGTTGGCCAACTGTCGTATCGTACACAAGTTTCGTAATTTCTAACTTCTAAGAAAGTTGGGGTTGATTATTTAGCTGTTGATGGTAATTTGTGGGAATAAGCCAGCGAACAAAATAAATCAAACTCAATACGTACTATGAGTTTCATTAACACAACTATATATTCATGCACATTCATCAATCGTCAAAAATCGATTTTAGATTGAAAAAAAAATATAACCAAGGCAGGACTTGAACCGGCATTCAAGGCGTTCCATGCTGTTGCTGTAATCAATGGAGCAACCGTGTCAAAACTTTTTTCAATGTAAAATCGATATTTTCTTTATATAGTGCCATCATGTGCAATGTTTGAAATCTTTTACATGTAAACATATAAAAGTTTTCAAACAGATATATATTAACAAAATAGAAAGTATATTCATATTGAAGAAAATTCATATTGCAAGGCTATAGGTTCCAAATTCAAATTAACATAGAAAATTAATAGCCAAGCACAGAAAATTAAATAAATCAACGAGTATAACGGATACAGCGAGACTGTGTTTCTCTGTGATTGTCTGTGATCTGTGTTCTGTGCGATTTTATACACACGTCATGTTTAATTATCGCCTATAGCGTCTATATTACGAATTTTCTGACACCTCGTTCATGAAAATTGGCTTAGTACAAAATCATCCCCCATAACCACGTTTTAGCTATATGTTCTTTAGGTAAAAGCTAAGCATTTACTTAATATCTGAATATCCAAAGTCAAAATTTTTGATAGCACATCTCGTCAAGATGCTACATGGCAGCGGTATTTCACCTACCCTCAAGTGGTGGTACGCCATGCTTGTCTGTTCTTCTTTCTGTATTATAAAACAAAAACTTACAAAACCACACCATCCTTGGAGAACCGACTGCCGAATACCAACACCCATATTGAAGTCTTCTGACGTGTGATGCACTTGATGTTGAGCCCAAAGGACGTGGATTTCTAAAAATTCGAATTCAATGGTTACATATACTATTCAATTCGAATAACAATATAGCGTTAAGATCGACATGATGTTATTGTGGTGTTATTCAAAGTCATATGGACATATAATATTAACACTAAAACATGCTTCGGGTTCTGAGGATTTCCGAATATCCAAAAAAAAAATCCAAGTTTTGCATGTAACGAAGCTATGTTATTATATAAAAGACGGCTTAAAAACTTAGTTCAAAAAGAATAAACAATTATTTATAATCGTTAAAATACTGTTTGTTTTGTAGTTGGACTAACCATGACATGCTCTGTGCATCCAGTAGTAACAGAAATCCATTCCCAGAGCAGCTAGACACCAGGTGGAGGTAGAGTCCCAGGGCAAGTCTACCATTTTCCAGTTATCATAAATCCATGTATAGGCGTAGAATTCCGCGCCGCGCCAAACCATTCTTAAGACAAAGATTTTTATAATATATGTATTATTAAGACAAGTCATTAATTAAGAATAAAGCTGTCGAGATTAAATATAAATAATCAGAATGATTTAAAAGGAATGATTTTTAAGTGAATAAATTTAATATCCGATCGTTTGAGTTTTCAACAGCCCTGGACCCTGTTTGTTTGGTCGTAGGTAAAATGTTTACGTAAACATCGCATTTCCAATTACTTTTAAACGAAGGAGTAATTAAATAAACAATGGAATTTCTTATTATTTTTGTATTACTTTGAACATAACAAATGACTGAATAGATTTTGTCACGTTACACCACCAAAGAAATGCCGGCGAAATTATTTTCTTCTCATAAAACCCTTACCTGCCACCTTCGAGGAACATTCCATTTGAGAAGCTCGTGATTCCGTCGTTCAGTCGAATACCTCTTTTACCCTTAAGTTTCAGAACTATGTGTTCCAATATCATAAAGGTGAAGAAATATGGCCATGACTGAAAGGAAAAAAAATATTCAGCATAGCTAACAATAATTTCTTTTGGTGAGGCGCTTTCAGCTGATTATTACTAGAAGTTCCTTAGTGAGTATTTTAATGCTTAGTTTAATTTTAATATTTAATACATAAGGTTTTTGAGCTTAAGTTTAATATAGATGAATTGAAAAAAAGTAGCGACACGGAAGAACTGAAACCGGCATCTTCGGAAATCCACAGACTGAAATCTTTCGGCTTCGCTTTTAAAGTTGCCGGTTTTCATCTGTGGACGGTGGTACGTGACCCGGACGCCATTTCGATATTCCTACCACCCATTTTTTACCCAGTTTTTCAAAAATGTTGGACCCAATGGGGATCGAACCTGACCTTACTATTTTTAGCTATACATATCCACAGTTAATGTCATGTTAATGTTCTGATTAATATTATTAGTTTATACTATTTTTTGCACAGAAAACTCAAGTTTTTGAGTTTAATAAAATAGTAGGTAGATTATAAATTACATCCGTTATCAAATACATTGAACTTTTAAAAAGAAATTCAATTCGACTAAAGTTATTCAATAATCGCATTTAAAACTAGACATATAAAATAAGTACCTGTACATAAAAATTTGGCACATCCTCGATGCGTTCAAATCTCGTTTTCTTGGGGTCTATAAGATAAAACATACGACCCACGCCTTCGAAAAACTCACTCGGGGACGTAAGAACGGAACCGTTATCGTAGCTCATTTTGAGGAAATGGCCGTATTAGTTTTTTTAACTATTTATATAAAAGTCAATTACTAAAACGATTAGACAGATTGGTGTGTACGCGACGCGGTTATTTGCGTTAAGTTGTGCAATGTGCAAGCCGATACATCGGCGGTGGGGTACTTGCCACGCACTGAAAATCTTTAGCACGCATGTTAAAACGATTGTCAGTAAGTCTTTTTTTGCAGCGCTATTAAGTTAGCCTGTTGCCATATCCTTCCTTAGCGTTTATTAAGTGGGTTACAAAAAGTGAAGTTTAGTATTTATTTATAACAGGAGGAGGTCAGACAAGTTGTTATACTTGAAATGCATAAGCACTTTATACTTTTTTCTTTTTGTTTTAATGATAGAGAGGAACAGTCAAGCATAGGGGGTGAAATACTCCAACCATATAATATCATTGAAATGTGTTGTCAACCTATTTTTAAAATTCTTATATTTACAGATTGTCATTAACGATATATACTTCTGGCATAGTTTAGAAAAATGAATCTTTACCTGGAATCAAATCTGTACATACAGACCTTTGAAGCCACGACCCCGTCAAATTAAGACCACTTACCTACATTTTATAGCCGAGAAAAAGCAATTAGCTGACCCAATGACCGATATTTGCTTGAAGAAAAGTACTTTTATGCCTACGAAGAAAATCATGTAGAGTTGGTAGCCGATCAACCCGTATTAATGCAAGGCAAAAAACTTTAAGCCTCTTTAGAATTAATTGTGTAAAGTATGTGAAGTATTTAGCTAAGCTGAACATCGTGATAAGTGTTATTAATGGAATGGGTATTTTATTACGAATAGACAGTAATTACTTAGATTTATTTGTCTAGTTGTCTGTATGGAATTAAATTAAGTATTTAATAGTCTGTAGAATAATTATTGTAGTTTTAATTATGGGTAATTATAGTATGGCTTCTATGTTTATTTACTTATTTTTATTGCTATCTTAATATCATCAATATTAAAGAACAATCGTAAAAAAGTTTCGTGTTTCATTATTAGGAATAAACCTCCCCGTGGCCACGGCTGCTGCAAAGCATCCGAAACGTCGGGCCGAAGTTAAAAATCATTTTCAAATAAGTTTAATATACCGCGTTTTAAACCGTTAAAGTGTTTTATTTAAAAGGAATAAACCTAGTTACCTACGGCCACGGTATGGCTGATTTTTATAAAATTATCATGAATATTCAATGAGTAATATCAATTTTTCATACGAATAAGTATTAACGCTTGTCTACATATAAGTATTGTTTAATTTTGGACAGTTATAATATGAAAAATATACACAGAAATATTTCATTACAACACAAATAATTTCTTAGGAATAATTGAATGGTTAATTAGTATTGTTAAACAACGTTTGCCGTCAGTACTAATCTATAAAATATACAAGATTAAAGAATTTAGTCTAAAAGCGTTTGTATGAGAATGCACGTTTTATGTATATTAAACACAAAATATTTTGGTTCACGAATGGCAATCGAATACTTGACCTCACGAGTAGAAAACACTGGCACGAGGCCGTCATTTCTTTGTTTACTTCTCTCTCTCTTCGGCTCTATTTTGTTCTGTAAAAACGTGTATTTATCAGTTTTAGTAAACTAACAGACATTTTTGGAAATACTTAGAATTTAGCTAAAGTGTCATCTATTATTTTTATTTTAAACTACGTTTACAGCATATTCACCTAAAAGTGTTAAAACTATGTTGTCATGTAGTTCAATATTTCCTCAATAGATGTCACTTTTAAAAATTTTCAGAAGGAATTTTATATATGAAAAAGGTAATCTAATCATTATGTCCACATAGTTCCTAGTCCTTCTATCCAGTGCTTTAAAAAAAATGTATTTTATGCATTTGTTTCTGAGATATAACGTTATAAAATATAGGCTTTTTTTCTTCTCAAATATAATGAAAGCTTATATACATTTAAATAAAACACTTTAACGGTTTAAAACGCGATATATTAGTTAAACTTATTTGAAAATTATTTTTAACTTCGGCCCGACGTTTCCGGTTGACGTCTCCCCGTGACCACGGCTGCTGCAAAGCATCCGAAACGTCGGGCCGAAGTTAAAAATAATTTTCAAATAAGTTTAACTAATATATCGCGTTTTAAACCGTTAAAGTGTTTTATTTAAATGTGTACTACTCGCGTAAACTATAGACAGTATTTAGCTTATATACATTTAATATTTCAGCTTATTTATTTTGATAACATAAAACCTTATAGTAATAATTAAATTACTACAGTTTATCCCAAATTAGTAATAATTAAAGATAAGATATTTTCATTATCATCAGCGATAACCAGGTGGTAGAAAGAATGAATCACAGTTATAAATCGAATTTAATCTAAACATGTTGGGCATATACTTGGTTTTGGCTTCTTTTGTTATAATTGCAAAAGGACAATCAACTACAAATGTGAATCGATGTAAGTATAACTAAAATTAAATACATTTTCGTCTTTATCCTTTTTTTCCTTTTTTTACAGTACGTTAAGTTTTGCTAACCTATTTTTATTATGTCCCCCCCCCCCCCCCCCCCCCTCCCCCCCCCCCCCCCCCCCCCCCCCCCCCCCCCCCCCCCCCCCCCCCCCCCCCCCCCCCCCCCCCCCCCCCCCCCCCCCCCCCCCCCCCCCCCCCCCCCCCCCCCCCCCCCCCCCCCCCCCCCCCCCCCCCCTTTTTTTTTCCCCCCCCCCCCCCCCCCCCCCCCCCCCCCCCCCCCATATAGGTACATACAAAAATTATGTTTTTATTTATATTCGAAAATAGATTTTCATTTATAGATAATGAACTACTAGTCTGTAAATATAGTCGATCACTGCAACTAACATAGATATATTTTTTTAAGTTGATCAGATTTCTGTACCTGCGCAACTAAAACAATTTATCACCCAGGGATTCCAACCTAGGATCTCTTGCATTTAACAAACACATAATGTACGTTAAACTAAAACTACTCTCATAAAGATTATGCTAGGGGCTCGGAGGATAACCGCGGAATTTGTAACTTAAATTTGACGATGAAAAAGGGTTGTGGCAAGTTTCTTGCCAGTTCTTCTCGTTCTCTTTTATTTAAAAACCAGTGGTAAATGTTAATTTAGAGTCTTTTAAAGTAAAATAATTTAGTTACTTAGCTACCTACATGAATAAATTATTTTTGATTTGGATTATTTGTTTTTTAGCGCAGTAAGAGACATCTTTAATTTTTTTTTGATGATAATTGAAACGTATTGAGCCCGGGGCCTCGAATACTAACCGGACGTTTGGGCGAGCGCACTAGCACTTGCTGTGTTTGAGGCCCCGAGGGGGGGTGTTCATATCGCTAACAAAGCACTTCAGAATGGCAAAGAGAAGGAACGTCTTTAACATGACTAATATTTTCCTGTTTCAGGCGCTGCGGGTCTTGGTGAATTACCAATTCATATTTATATCGAGGGCTGCATCAACCCACCATGCCGAGTGATACAGGGTGAAGACGTAGTTATCAACGTTGTTTTCAAAGCTCGTAAGTAAATTAAACTGTTAATGTTTACTACAATTTGAATCAATTATCTAGGAGCTATATATCTATTCTAATCAATACTGATATATAGAGCTGAAGGGTTTGTTTGTTTGACTTTGAACGCACTAATCTCTGAAACTGCGGGTTCAAATTGAAATTCTTTTTGTGTTGGTTAGAGCATTTATCGAGGAAGGTTATGGTATTAGTCACGATGTTGTATATATTTATATACAACATCGTGACTAATTGGAACGAGGAAATGTGGTACAAATTGGGAAATTTAAAGGGGAAGATACCCAAAAAATATGTTTGAAAGAATGATTCGTCTTTAAATTATCTAAAAAAATGTTTCTATATCCCAAAAGATTGACTTGCGACAACGATGGGATGCAAGTGACGTCGTGGGTAACAGTTTAAGAAGGGGTTTGTAAAAACAAATTTGGATGCCCAAAATAAAAATTCTACGCGGACGAAGTCGCTGACATAGCTAGTATTTATATGTTTCCTTGCATTGCCTGTGATGTGACTCTAATAAGATGAGCTATTATGGTCGTAACTTGGTGAATTGTCATCTAGTTGATAATGTTTTACCCCGTCAGAAACTGTAGAAATTCTTTTAAAAATCCTGCCCTCTAAAAAAATTACTGTCTTGTTGCAGCTTACACAATTCGGAGCATGAGAACAAAAGCGGTAGCTCTATCGATTATTGACTATCCCCTCGGTGAAAATGGAAGAACGTGCAATTTCCTATCAAATACGTATTGTCCAATTTTAAAGGACGAAATTGTACAATATACGTTGCGCATGCACATTGAAAGGATCTTCCCAACGGTTAGTGTTGATATGAATACCTATAAAACTGTAATATCAATGATAAGAAACAGATCATAGAATACGAGGTTCAAATCTCGGGTAAAGAAAAATCGTTTCAGTCTGGCGAGGGATAACAGTCTGATTCTCTAGCCCATAAATAAAATTGATCAGTGAAATGACCACAGAAATGTGTTAGCCCAATGGCCCAGAATGAGAAACGGGGTAAAGTAGTTAATTCTTGGCACTTGTGCTTGATTAGGGGTGAATAAAGACAATAACCCAAATTTAGCCACAAAATCACAAAAATTCGGACACAAGAAACTAGTATATCACCACGTATTTACAGTCTGTGTATATACTAGACTTAAGCTAAATTTGTTTAATATGTGTTTGGTCTTTATTCAGATCCCATTCCACCTTCAGCTAAAGTTTCCACTACAGAAATTGTCAGGATGAATTATTATTACCAAAAACAATACATTTAGATTAACAGTAGTGAATGTTGTTACATACTAGACGCGAAGTCAAACGCAATAAGCAAGTACAAAACATGCTATTTTTATAAAAATGTTTAAAACTCGTCCTGCAATAGAGAGTTTGAAATTATTATATTATTGTTTGTTCATTAAATTTGGTTTATTCAAATCAAAAGATAAACACCTGCAGACTTATTAGTACTAAAGTATTGATTAGTGATTGCTTCTTATAACGGTATTTGATAAAATTTTTCAGGTTGCGGTGGACATTAACTTCAGTGTCGTTGATCAAGATGAAAAGCCGATATGGTGTATCAACACAGTGGTTCAAGTTCAGAGCCCTACTAGACAAGCTATCGATATTGTAAATAGCTCATAGTTAAGTTAAGCTGCATTAATATCATCAACGATCATTTGAAATTTGAAAAAATCATCAACGATCAACAATATTTTTATACCTATAAATATTTAAGTGATTCTGAAATAAAAAATATAATTCATACTTTTTTTTTATTTATCACCACGATTAAATGGATTTGGTCATACAGGTATTTAGAATTGATACAGAAATATTTTATGATATATTTGTATTGAGTTCACTACATAGAATGAATTTTGATCCACGCTACTGATAATTAATTTAAAAGATCAAACAAAAACTTTCCCTGGCACGATTTACATCTGACTTATATAAAAGAATTTGAATACAATACTTTACATAAACCGAAAATAATGCCTAAATCATTAACAATGAAACTGTAAAGTGTAAAAAATTATTTAATAGTATCAATGAACAAATATTAATTAATTAAATAATATATACACATATATATTACTAATATAATATTGTTATCCCTATATATTTAGTAAATACAATGATTTTGCATTGGACTTCATAATTTTAGCTTGTGACTATAATATTTAGTGTCAAAAAATAAACTTATTTAGCGACATTAAATATATTTACTATAAATATTTATTTTTTGCATAACTTTGCTGCCATGTATATATTTTAACTACTTATAATTTACACACAAAATATTGTGAAATATGTTAAAGGAAGTGGTTAATTCTAGAAATATGGATAAAACTTACTATTTTACTCGGCACAGACATCAAAATATTTATTTCATATTTTTAGGTTTCAGTAAAACTAAAACGCATAAACTCAAAATTAAACCATTTATTTTAAACATGTACAAATACATATATCATGGGAACAAGGTTTTCAGTGCCCCGGGGGGGTACAAAGTCAGTAAGTGATTGTTACCTATTGTAACCTAAATTATCCAAAACTATTATAGGTCTGTGCGGAGTACAATTCATTTTTTATTTATGTTTGTTTCAATTAGGTAATTATTCTTAAGCATTATTTTATGTTCTTACGTTTCTATCGTATAGTACACACAAAGTTGTCTAAGAAAAAACTATGAAGGACCGAAAAATGTATAAACGATGCAAAGGTAGAAATTATCACATTTCTAAGAAATTGGCAAATGTAGAGAAGATAATGAATTTTTGTCCACCCAATAGTGTTTCCGATCTAGATTGTATGTTACAATTTTATCTCTTAATGCAGATATATAAGAACGTGTCTATGTTTCCAACTAACAGTTTACACCAGGAATCTTAACATCCAAGTTATAAAAATGTTCAAATTTGCCATATTATTATTGTATTTTGCTCCAGGTTTTAACAGTCAAAAAATGGATTCGACAGATGTTAATAGATGTAAGTAGATACGGTCTATTTATTATTCCTCATGATTTTTACTACCACCTACTTAATCCTAGTTGCCTAGTATTGCGTCAGGCACGAAATATATTTGGTATAGGTTCGCATCTGTAGCCCAAATGGTTAAACATATTGCCTAGCATTGCGTTAAGCGTGAGAGGTCCTGGGTGTGAATCCCAGGGAACATAAAATTGTTTCGGTCAGACAGGGCACAGAAGTCTGATTAACTACTTGCTTGTTAAAAGAATGGATCAGTGAAACGGAGACATAAATGTATTCGCCCTTATGCCCCGCGAGGGGGAAACGGGCTTTCATAAGAAGACTTAGGTTTTTTTCTTTTTGTTTAAGGGCCATAAAAGGCAACATTCTCATCTGCTTGCTGTAAGAAGAAGTGAAAAACACAGAGGGAAAATATTCTGGATTATTTTTTATGTTGGTGTTTTAAATTAAATTAAAATATAATTAAATTACACTACAGCGACTACAGGTTTACTCGCCGTTCGGACTAAAATAGAATTATAGAATAAAAGGAAAGATATCCTCTAATAAAAAAAATACAATATTTAAGGTTCAAACAAATTGAAAAGCGTTGACTTATAGCCAATAGCGTGCATTGTGTTATGTAAAAAATAAGGTTATATTTCGAAAAATATACAAGATTTTCAGAGGTTTTAATCGAGAATTGGGCTCAACATTTCTCTATAACAAGATGACAGGCAGCTTGAAAACCCAAATAGCTTCGACAATTTAAACTATAAGGCTATATTTTAATAAGGTTTACTCGTGTTGTTTTAAAATATGGTTCTTACAATTATTTTCATCTTAAAGGTCCTAGCAAATACGGCGATCTCCCAATTCATACTTACATTGAAGGATGCAGTACGCCCCCCTTGCCCCGTTATAAGCGGAGAACATGTGACTATCAATGTTGTTTTCAAAGTTCGTGAGTACTAAATGAAACTACTATTATATATAAAATATTAAAAAAAAAACAGAAGAATACTGACTATACTTTACGCGATTAGTACACATTTAAATAAAACACTTTAACCGTTTCGCCTGCCTGTGTTGTGACCATGTTTGCTGCAAAGCATCTGAAACGTCGGGCCGAAGTTAAAAATCATTTCCAAATAAGTTTAACTAATATATCGCGTTTTGAACCGTTAAAGTGTTTTATTAAAAAAAAAACAGAAGAAATTAAAACCTTATTTAACCTTTAGGTTTATTAATTAAGTTTCTCTAAAATCCCACCTCTCGCGCATTGTAAGCCCTGTAAGTCCTGCCCGAATTATATTGTTAATTTAATGTATTATCGATTTTTAATTCATATTTGGCATATTAATAAAACTTGGGGGCGTCCCAATTAAATCGCTTTTTAAGCGAATTTATCTTATAGGAATATTTTTTGAAGCTTACACTTTATTCTTTGACAAAGGTAAATAACACCATTATCTATATTTTACTATTTGATTATTAGAATTAAACAATTCTTTTTAGCTCGTACACTAAGAAGGATGGAAACAAAAGCTTACGTGCCATCTTACAATATCCACTTCCCACTGTTGGGAGATTCAGTCACTTGCAATTACCTTAGCAACACTTACTGTCCCGTTTTAAAAGATGAAGTGGTGCAGTACACGTTGCGCATGTTTATACTACCGAGGTTGTCAGCAGTAAGTGTATAAAAAAATATTATTTGTATGATAGAGGCAGCCAAGCTTAGAGTTCTTGATGGATGGTATACCGCTAATGACCAATAATCCGTTAGTGGTAAGGTGCGTTGTCGACCCATTTTGGCTTTGGATGTTCGGAAAACAAATCGCGATTAAAATTTGTTTTTTCCGGTTAACGAGGACGGATACCATAATCCTACCGCCCATTTAATAATCTGATTTTCAGAGGAAGAGTAATATAGTTACTCATTATAAATTGATTAGACACATGTTGGGCCGGAGAACGAACTAGCAACCCGTTGATTATTCGCCATATATTGCCATCATTGACCAACGAGTCTGTCAAAAATATATACTACGTCTTCTTCCAATAATTCCTCCCAATTCTATATATTCATGGATTGGGATTAATTAATAAATATATAATCCCAATCTTTGAATATAACATTAACACTCGTTAATGTTGGTAATAAGGCACTTAGAGTTATTAAAAAACACAGATCACAATCTATTATTTTTTATATGTTATTGCACATGAAGGCACTACATAATTTCAAAATCGAAAATAAATTGAAAAAATTTTCGGTGACGCTGACGATACCGGTTCAAGTCCTGCCCGAGTGGAATTTTTTTTCAATTTATTTTCGATTTTTACAAAATCACAATATAAATTAATGAATTACGTATTTATGGTATGGAACCGTATTCGTACTTGAGTCAGACTTGCACTTGGTTTTTGTAATTTGTAAGCAATGAATAACTGAAGCTAGAGTTTTATTTAATATTGATTAATTTATCCTCATCGAATTATAACGGTATTTTAATGTAATTATCATGCTTTCAGATAACATTGGAAATTTACTTCTACGTAGCGGACGAAAATCAACAACCAATTTGGTGCATAAGCGTCGGCATAGCGGTTCAAAGCCCGACGAACAATATAAATATTCAAAACTCGACACTTATTAATTAGATTATAAAATTGCTTTATAAAATATGACTCATAAAGACCGCTTACAAATTTCATCCATTTGAAGCAAAAATAACAAATGCTTTGATAAAATAGGAACAGGTATTAGTGTACTCTCAATTACACACACATGTTAAAGATTATTATTTTATAAAACAAATCAGCATAAATTAAATTCATGCTTACTTACTTGTTTTTTTTATTATTTCACAGTTCCCACAGACCTTATATATAATATGTTAAAAAGTGTTTCAATTTTTTGGACCATTTTTATATTAAAATGTAAAAACTAAATTTCTAGGCAAAAATTACAGCTGAAATTTTATCCAGTATTTATCTGTCTACCAAATTCCAAGTAGGTCAAGTGCTGTTGTGAACTAACTCTACATAAAAAGAAGAGACAACCAGACCAATATTCTGAAAGTTTCTGGTAAATCAAACGTACTTTTAAAGTCTATCTTTAAAACTGACTGTATTTAATTGTATCTCAGTAGTTTGTGAGACCCTGAAAAGTAATCTGAATAAAACAAGCTACTCATCTTTATTTAGGTATTCAAACACAAGACATAGTTAATTATGTTACATTTCTAGGTTTTATTTCCCTAACTACCAACCAGCATGGTCCATTAATCTATAACCAGTAATATAGCAAAGCAGATTGTATACTGTCGTCGTTCTTGCAAATTAATTTTAAAAGATGGACAGATACAGTCGCGGATATATTTTTAGATCATTCAAAGAGAAATCATTCTGTCTATAGTTTACGCGAGTAGTACACATTTAAATAAAACGCTTTAATGGTTTAAAACGCGATATATTAGTTAAACTTATTTGAAAATTATTTTTAACTTCGGCCCGACGTTTCGGATGCTTTGCAGCAGCCGTGGTCACGGGGAGACCACGGCTTATTTAAAAAAGAAATCATTCTTTCATAGATATTTTTTAGATATCTTCAACCGTTTTCGCAGCGTACGCAACAGAAATCCATAAGGATGAATAATCACACAGGTGTCACGATTAATATTATCAAACAGGTTTCTTCAGTGTTGACATAACTTACTTATCAATTCGAATATTCCAATTATAGGAATCAACATTCTGTTTAAACAAAGAGAATAAGTATCTAACTCTGAGCTTAAGTGAGTATAGATAATTAGATGTTACTTATATATCCAAGTAGCTCGCAATTAGGATGTTAGAACACTCTTAAATAAAAGAATCCGTTAAAAGTATAGCTTCACCTTCCTCCTTAGTATTGTCCTGAGACAGATATATTATAAATATATATATAGTATGCTATTATATATATATACAAGCCCCATTCAGCTTTGGTTGGTATTCCAGTATGACTGAAGTGACCCGATGAAATCAGTCATACTTGAACCAACCACGAAAATGAATGGGGCTTGCACATTATAATAGCATACTATATATCATTTTAATAACTATCTTTCAGGAACATCAATAGCCCCAGGAGGAAGGTAAAGAAAATAATGTAACTTTTACTTTTTTAAAAGATTCTAACATCCTAATTGCGATCTACTTTTAAGGTACATATACTTATCTATACAAATATAAAGCTGAAGAGTTTGTCTCGTTAGTACTTAGTCTGTTTGAACGGGCTAATCTCACCTAGAAATACTGGTTCGAATTGAAAACTAATTTGGAATACTAAAATGTGGAAAAAAGGGGTAAAATTATGTCATCACTTAAGGACTCCTGTTTGATAATATTAATCGGTGAACATATCTAAAAAATATCTATGAAAGATGAATTCATTTTTAAATAAGCCGTGGTTTCCCCGTGACCATGGCTACAGGAAAGCATCCGAAACGTCGGCCGAAGTTAAAAAAATTTTCAAATAAGTTTAACTAAAATACCGCTTTTAAACCATTAAAGCGATTTATTTAAATGTGTACTACTCGCTAAATAAGACAGAATGATTTCTCAAGTCAACCTTATCCGCGACTGTATCTGTCCATCTTTGGAAAATTAATTTGCAAGAACGACGACAGTATACAATCTGCTTTGCTCGATATTACTGGTTATACGATTAATGGACCATGCTGGTTAGTAGTTAGGGTAAATAAAACCTAGAAATGTAACAGAATCAACTATGTTTGTTTTGAATCAACTAAATAAAGATAAGTGCTTGCATTGTTCAGTATTAAATTTTTCGAGGGTATCACAAACTACTGACATAAATTTAGATACAGTAAGTTTTAAAATGACTTTAAAAGTACGTTTATTTACCAGAAACTTTCAAATATTGGTTTTTTTCTATTTTATGCAGACTGTTAGTTTTCATCAGCATGACACTTGAATTAAGCGATAAATACTGATAAGATAACAGCTGTAAAAAGCCTAGTAATTTAGTTTTAAGGCAACGAATTTTAATATAAAAATGGTCCAAAAATGGAATACAAAAACTTTTTAACATATTATAAATAAGTTTAAATGAAAAATATTAAAAAACAACTTGATAAGGTTTTTAATTTATGCTAATTCATATTTAAAATAATAATCTTTAACTGAGGGTGTAATTGAGATACTACCGTTCCATTTTATCAAAGAATTGGTTATTTTCGTCAAATGGATGAAATTTGTAAGCGATTTTATGGTCATATTTTACAAAGCACTTTTATAATCTAATTAATAAGTGTCGAGTTTTGAATATTTATTGTTCGTCGGGCTTTGATCTGAACATGCCGACGCTTATGTACCAAATTGGATGTAGATTTTCGTCGTCACTACGTAGAAGTAAATTTCCAATGTTATCTGAAAGCATGATAATTACATTAAAATAATATATTCGATGAGGATAAATTAATCAATATTATAATAAAAATTACAACTGTTTTTCTTGAAGCTTCAGTTATACATTGCTTACAAATTACAAAAACCAAGTGCATAGTCTGACTCAATTAGCGAATGGTTCCATACCATAAATACGTATTGCATTAGAATTTATATTGTGGTTTTGTAAAAATCGAAAATAAATTGAAAAAAATTTCTATAGGACAGAACTTGAACCATTATCGTCAGCGTCACCGAAAATTTTTTGGGAAACTTTATTTTCGATTTTGAAATTATGTATGCCTTATCTTTTGCAGTAACATATAAAAAATAATAGATTGTGTCATCATTGTGATCTTTTTTAATAACTCTAAGTGCCTTATTACCAACATTAACGAGTGTTAATGTTATATTCAAAAATTGGGATTTATATTAACTTAATTAATCCCAATCTATGAATATATAGAATTGGAAGGACATTATCCGCGAAGAAGACGTAGTTTTGGGCATCGCATATATTTTTGACAGACTCGTTGGTCATCATTATGGCAATTTATGGCGAATAATCAACAGGTTGTGGGTTCGTTCTCCGGCCCATACATGTGTCTAATCAATTTATAAAGTAACTATTTTGACTTCCTCTGAAAATCAGATTATTAAATGGGCGGAGGATTATGGTATCCGTCTTCAACCGGGAAAAACAAACTTTTAATCGCGATTTGTATTTCCGAACATCCAAAGCCAAAATGGGTCGAATAATTAACAAGTTCAAAATTTAAATAATGTAATCGTGATATCACGCAATATTTTTTTTTAAATTGAGATATTTGTTGATATTACTAAAACATTAATGATACCACGCTTTCCAAAAGAATCATAGTATATCGCTTCAACAATATTATTGTGTTTTATAAATCTTTCTAACATTTGTAAGGCATTGGCTTCTAACGTTTCCGCTTAAGAGTAACCGCAATCAATCTTGAAACAAAGCTTAAATTGGGAGACTCATTCCGATCTTTGCACCAAACTTTCTTCTCAGTGTTCTTTGTATGAGCTTAGATATCCACTGCGCATGTGTTGGCCACTAGAAACGCTAGTGACGTCGTGATCCGTAATGTTATCGATAAAACTATTAGAGCTGAGAACTGAAAACACAATGCAATATTTTGATGATACATAATTAACACTGATCCTTATATCCTTAGTTGCCGTTTTCAAATAAAAAATCGATTTAGGTTAAAAAAATTGACGACACGGGGAGGACATTTTCTACACATCATCTTATAATTTTGTCAACCTATTGATACATAGAGGTGCATCTCTAGCGCTTGCCATTTTCATATAGACAACTTTATAAGCACGTGGGTAAAAGCGTTGCGTTAAGCAGGAGAGATTACTATGAATAGAGTTTATACGATAGAGTTTATTACGAATGCAAAAAAACATACTACTTTCAAGAGTTGGCCCAAGAGGGCTCAGACGTCTGATTAACTACTTGCTCTTAAATGCAAATTATTTAGTGAAATAGGCAAATGATATTGCACTTAGGGGAACATAATTTAACAATTTAAATAAAACACTTTAACGGTTTAAAACGCAATATATTAGTTAAACTTTTTTGAAAATGATTTTTAACTTTGGCCCGACGACGTTATAATTTAACAATTTCAAGTACCTGTACTTATACCTATTTGAACGATATAGGAATTTAGAATCGTTGCGAAGAAACACATTAAAAGAGAGCTACCAAGATACGACAGTAATTAGCAATTTTGTAACAATTCCAATTATTTTTTTAAATTGAGTTTAAACAAAGCGTAGGTACATACACATCGATACTCCATCACATCACTAAATTTAAATTCGTCGTAGACCTCAGTCGACGCTATGCGGCTGCGCCCGTGGTACGTGTAGTTACTTTGCAGACCCATTGCCTCCGTACCAATAACACTTTTCACAGAATATTTTAACATTTATACAATGGACTTGCAATAACTAAAACAAGTGTTCTCATCTAAAGGGTCGACGCCGAAGGATTTATCACATGTGGCAAGGGGATATAAAGTTCAATTCTGCGTGGCATAAGCCGGGCTAGTTCGTGTTTGGTTGATTGTGCGGTAAAATGACACGGTGAGTCAATTTTAGTATAGAATTTATAATGAAAAACAGGTTTTCTTTTATAATATTGCATGCTAGGAATAGCACAA